AGCCCACCACCGCCCAAAGATTTTTTTTTTTTTTTTTTTTTCCCTTCCGGCGAGTGCTCTAGCAGGGAGGGGAATGGTGCGAAACGACGAGCGCCGGCGTGTGCTTGGCTGCGGCTTATTCATTGAATATCACCCACCACACACCGATTTTGTCAGCGCTGCTTGCTCGGACACTCTTCCATATGGCTCCTCCGGACGTGTGTTGTCAGCAGAGTTAGATGGTCGCCCGAGTATTCCCGGCCAGGGAGTCGTCCCCCCTACCGGCTTCGGAAATAACTAGACGGATGAGTGGGGCAATTATTGACAACCACTGGTAGTTGGAACTGCAGAACATCAGTGCAGCACTGTTTTAGGGGTCGATTATCATGATCTAAGCTCCATTGCTAACAATACTATACGTTGCATTTCTCAGGGCCCGTCCGGATTCGCGGCCATTTGGCAAAAACACATTTTCGCTAAAGAGGGGGCCGTTTGGATTCGGCCGCAGGAAGTGAGCAGCCGGGCGGTGGGTACAAAGCAATGGTGTGCGACGCGAAGGGTCCGCAATCACCACCCGACAGCAACACTGCCTTTACCATGGCATCGGAAGCAGAAAGCTTTGCTGCCCTAGGAGGCGCGCTCGCCGTGGTATTTGAGAAGCAGCCATGCCGCACGCCTGCAAAGCGACACAAATCCGCGGCGCTTCATTGCAACCTACCACTCTGCAAATGGTTCCGAGATGCGGGCCTTTTGCAGCCGTCCCGTAAAGTGGAGGATCAGGTGGCAATATGTCTTTTTATAGCAGGCCACGTTTCAGAATAGCGGTGAAACGATTTCCCGGTGATGCACCGTTGAACGGAACTTGAATGAGTGAAGAAGCTATTTCACCGATGTTCTGCTTGCTTGCCAGCACCTGTATTTTGAGCTCATCGCCATCCATCCGGCCGCTCCTCCCACCATCCACTGGACGGTTTCCGGGCATTCTGCAACTCCTCCAACAGCTGGCTCGGCGCGAAGGGCGTATTCCCCAGTCGCACGCTGTCCCTGGAATGTCACGTCCATCTCGTCGACAAAGGGGAGCCGCTGGTTTCGGAATTTGATTTGTTTTCAGGTTTGCCTCCGTCCACATTAGCACTTGTTGGCTTCCCCCTCCAAAAAACATTAAGTATATCCACACACAAGAAACTTGCATGCGCAAAACAACTCCTCAAACAATTTGCAGTCTCTAGGCACGCTCGCCGCCACCACCACCACAACTGGCCAACAACCACAGCCACCATCAGCGTGTTGCAGTGCCGTGGTGCGTATCTATCCACAGTTGCCGTCCTTTTGTTTTAGCTTTTCGCGGGGTGGCAGAGAGGGAGAGCTTGAGGGAAGCTTCATGTTCATGTTGAGCTGCACAGCTGCTATGAAGCTCCATGTTGACTGCAAGGAAGGGTTCGAGCCACGCCGAGATCCCCATTCTGTAGGCTGTAGCCATACCTACACTTGCGTTTCCAAGAGTTTGTAGACGTACAGGTGGCATGAGCACAACAGACCCGCATCACTCATCACTCCTTACCCAGGCAAGCGATCAAAAACCACAGCATATAAATTCACATGCATTGACATGCGTTCGCCAGATCTCAATAATCTACAACGAAACACCCATATCCCTTCGCTCCTCGGCAACAGCAGCAAACCCGAAAAAAGTATGAAAAAGATGAAAAAATCAAAAGCCAAATACGCCATCCCATTCCGCCCGATGCCATCCTCATTTTGCATGCAAGCGCAGTCAAAGAAAAGCCGCAAAGAAAAAAATCTATGCAAAAGCCGAGTTTTTGTTTTTCTCCACCCAAGTCCCTATGCTACTGCTGATACCAGTACTATCACTTAAATCCGTGCAAAGTCGCGCTTCGCCTTGCGTGCAGGCGCATCTGCGGTGAAGCCGTTGTTGGCGAAGGGGACGGTTCCCTTGTCGGTGCTGAGCTTGCCGGCGGTGGAAAGAAGCAGCTTCTTCATGCCCTGAGTATCTGTCTTGAGATCGGGGTTCTGGCTGAGGAGGTAAGCGAGGAGACCAGTGACATCTAGCATGGTAATTAGCAGCGAATCAAGAAACTACGAGTGTAAAAACTTACGAGGAGTAGCCATGCTGGTTCCGGAGATGGTGTTGATCTTGTTGGTTCCGCCGATCCAGGTGCTGGTGACGTCCTGTCCGGGCGCGAAGATGGTGGTGCATTTACCAAAGTTCGAGAAGGAAGCACGGTTATCGTCGATGGTAGTGGCGCCGACGGCGATCGCGTTGCTGCTCTGACTGGCTCCGGCAGGACTGGAGTTGCAGGCGTCCTGGTTCTCGTTACCGGCGGCAACTGAAAAGTGGATTCCGGCGGCGGAAGCCTGGATCACAGCCTCGTCGAGGGAGGTGGAGCGTACTGCCGAGCCGAGAGACATAGAGGCCACGGACCCGGCGAAGCCCGCCTCCTTGGATCGTTTGACGTGGTTCTGGATCACGAAGTCGATACCCTTGAGGATGTCCGAGGTAGATCCCGAGTCGGTGCTGAGAACTTTCACCGCGATGATGTTGGCCGCTTTGGCGATACCAAAGGTAGTGGAACCGGCGGTGCCGGCACAGTGGGTTCCGTGGCCGACGTCGTCCTGCTCGGTGTCGATAGTGAAGCCGAACTTCGCACGCCCGTCGAAGTCGATGTGGTCGACGTTCACCCCGGTGTCGACAACGTAGATATCAACGCCCTTGCCCAGGTCCGCGGTGGTGCCGTTGAACTGGTACTTGAAGTCGAAGGCCGCAATGCTAGCCTCGGCGGTAGGCGGGTTCGCGATGGCATCGCCCTGGCTGATCCGCTGCAGCCCCCAGGGTGCGTTGACCTGCACATCCAACAGCTTGACCTCGAGCTCGGGCTCGAACGTCTTCAGCCCGGACATCACCGACATCTTGCTCACACTGGCGTTCGAGAGGGAGCCCGAGAAGCCCTTGAACGCTGTGTTGTTGTAGATGTGCTTCACCTGGATGTTGCCCATCTCCGCCATCAGCTCCTCGAGACTTCGAGGGTCATCGTTGTCCACGATGACAGTCCACGTTCCAGCAGAACCGGGGCTGTCATCGAGGACTTCGACCTTATCCGCATCGGCCTTGAGATCGCCGGAGGCAGCGGCAGCATGGGGGGCGGCAAGGACTGCCGAGGAAATGGACGACAGAAGGAAAAAGAGCGCAGAGCACTTCATCGCGACGAAGGCAGTGGTATGAAGTATATATTAAAAGATCTGCACTCGAGTTAGCCATCCGTCTCACTGGCAGCATTTCGATGGCGGGGAACACACGATCAAAAAATCAAAGCAAGCTTCCCAAACTATCAGAGAGTGGATAGTATACACTGCTATCGAGTTCTCAAAATGGCCGGAACAAAGAAATGCGCAGCAAGCCGGAGCAGCGATATCCTAGCAGGGTGCTCGAAGGAATGAAACAGATCAGCAAGGCGAAGGAGCGTGTGGGACAAAGGAGCCGAAGTGAAAGTGTAGTTCAGGTAGTAGCGGTGGGGGGGGTGATGGTGGTGGTGGTGGTGGTGGTGGTGGTGGTGGTGGGTCGAGAGACTTGTCAAAGACGGTTCGATTTGTTTGGTGGTCAACACACGAGCTTTTGTATTTGTGGCGAGAAACAAACGATCAATCAACACTCGCTGAGTGCCCAAGAATGGAATATATGCAGAGAATTCAATGAAAGAACAAAGAACAAAAAAAGAGTATGAGAAGAATGTAAAGACCGGCCAACACAGTTGGCACGAGTCCTGCAGGTGGTAGTAGCAGTAGGGGAGGAAAGAGGGCTCTGCGGCAGCGATGGGAGAGGAGAGAGGAAAGAGAAAGGAACAGCAGCGGGCGGACGCTGGCGTGTTAAATGCCCGCGGTCTCCCTCTGTCACGCTCGCTCGCTCGCTCTCTCACCAGCTGCCCCCTCGCCCATCCGAAGCCGGCAGTGAAACGCACATGGAGGAACCCTGACCCGGCGAGCAGAACCCTGTCCCGGCGTTCCTGCATATAGCACCATGTCAGAGGTATCTATACGGACTGTCAAATCCAGCGGTCCACAAGTCTTCCCGAACTGCACGGGCGGCAAGTAGATCAACTCCGCCCGCGTGGATGCACGCTGATTCGTCAACCTACCAAACTCCCAAATTACCCCTCCGAATCGGCGTTCGAGAATGGCCATGAATGCTGTCCCATCTGTGCTGCGGAGAGCCAGTCTGGATAGATAGTCCGGCCTCGATGCAGCTTTGAACCAAACCCCAGCCTTGTGCGGGCTCGCACAAACAAACACAAGACAAAACCCTTATCAACCCGGCACCCGTCTCCCGCGATCGATATTGCGATTTCACTTTCCTTCGCCGGACTCCCATTTCACGTACCTATCCACCTACAATTCCGGCCGCGCCCAGCAGAGCTGGCTGGGCTAGAGAGGTCTCAAGTATTTGGGGGAGGGGGGTTGTATTCGCGTATTCGGCTGAAGCGTGGTGAAACGCGCTTAAGTTTCAAGCTTGCTTGGGGGGCGGCTAATGTATCTCGCATCATCTCGCGAAGCGCTGCAACAGATGGCGATGTTGAAAAGGCCGGTATTGGAGCCTATTAGTTCCGCCCCGGTGGTATGTATACGTATCGTGTTTGTGGTTGTCTTTGAAGCGAGCAGCAGCAGCATCGGAAAAAGAAACCTTGTGTTTTGTTGTGTTTCGTTCGACGCACGTGCAGGGACTTGACCGGAACGGTGTCATTGCTTAAACCCACCGGACCAAAAGAGCGTGAATCGGTGCTCGCGCAAATTTAAAGCTTCACGCAGAATTCCATAGTGCGGAGAGGGGTCATCAATAAGCTTACACCAACGGAATTATTGACACCTGCATTCCGTTTTCGGTTCCGCGGCACGACATCTATAGCTACAGTTGGAAGGTGGGTGGCTGAAAGAATCTCTCCTAACTCCCACCTCAGCGCTAGCCAGGCTTGACTGACCTCAAATGTCATCTTCTTGGGACAAGACACAACGGCAAGATGGCCGAGCGGTCCAAGGCGCCAGACTCAAGTTAAGTCTTCTCTCAGCCCAAACTGGGAGCGCATTCTGGTCAGGAAACTGGCGGGGGTTCGAATCCCCCTCTTGTCAACATTCTTTTTTTTCCTTTTTTCTTTAGCATTTCTGCTGCTCACTATGCTTGTGGCGGAAACGAGATGGATAAAAAATGAATTGAAAAATCAACCATCTACTAAACCCCTCGGTATACTATATGAAGAAAGAAAAACAAAGAAAAAAGGCTTCCAACGCCAACGCCGCGCTACAGCATAAATACGAACCTCCCCGCCATGCCCCTCCCGCCCTCCACCGCCGCCTCCCTCGCAGCGAGTGCCTCCCGGAATTTGTTCTCCCTCCTTAACCTGTACCTCTGCAGCGCAACTAGTGCGCACACAACCAGCATACACGCGGCGCACGTGGCCGATCCACGAATGTACTCCGGCCCATCCTCAGCGGGATACAACCTTGTCCCCAGGAGGGGGCCACACTGCCCCATCGCCTGCAAAATCGCCATCCCCGCGCCCCTCGAGCTTTCTGTCTCGGAGTTATTCCCGTTCCACGTGATGACGAGGGAAATAACCGCAAATATCGTGCCGGCGGCGAACATGAGTCCCGCGTAGCTCATGCCGACTAGGTACTTGTGCGACGTTTCGTCCATGAAGATGGAGGTGGGGAGCTTGTCCTCCCACCAGGAGCCGAGTGCTTCTGCGTCTGCGACTTGCGAGGAGAGGAGTGTGAGACGCCGGTGGAGCAGACCGGTGAGTGATAGTAGTAGGTAGCCGAAGGCGCTGGTGACGCAGAGGAGGATTAGAGGGATTGAGCGCGAGCGGAAGCGGTCAGAGAGGTAGGTCGTTAGGAGGATGACGAGGAAGCCGAAGATGTAGGGTGGGATTGAAAGGGCTTGTGCGCGGGCGGAGGTGATGTCGGTTCCTAGGTCCATTCTGGCGGACGTCAGATTGGCGTCCGGGAGAGATGGAATATGCTTACTCATGGATGATAGTCGGGAGAAAGACGGGGAGGGAAGCGAACGATACGTTGGAAAAAAAGAATATCAGTGCTGTAATCCAGTTGCCCGGATCTCTGAACGCTTTCCACACTTCGTTCCACCGCACTCCCCGCCCTTCTTCGGTCGCCATCACCGTGCCTGTGTCTTCTTCATCATCGCGCACCACGAGCAGCCTTCTCCGCGCGATCTTCCTCTGATCACGATCAAGGAAATAGGCGTCGGCCGGTGAGTCCGGGATCATGTAATACGCGCAGATGCCGGTGATGAGAGAGGGAAAGCCCTCGAGGAGGAAAAGCAGGCGCCATGGAGCTATCGGCGAGGGTATCGAGGTGATGGCATAGGCCAAAAAGCCAGCATAAGCTGTAGCCAATGGCGCGGCGGATATGAACAGACCTGTTCGGAGGGCGAGTTCTTCTCGGCGATAGAACAGACTAATGTAAAACGGGACGCCTACACAAATCAGATGAATCCCGCAACCTTACGATGGAGCATACCAGGGCCATATGCCGCCTCAAATATTCCCAAGATCGCCCGCAAGATCATCATGGATATCCAGTTGATCGACAATGCCTGTAATGATGCGACAACGCCCCATCTGAAGGGATTTAGCAGAGGCTTCTGCAGCTTTCGTTGTACGGCTGCCTACCCGATCACACAGAATGCGACATATTTATGTGCGGCATACACCTTCCAGCACAAGGTCGTCCATTGGAAAAGCTGCCACGATCAGCAACGCTCCATCTAGGCGTGACTCGGAGATGCGCACGATGTAAGTGATATAGAATGACGTAAGTAACCACTCATATCTATCGCCGCTGAGGTCTAAATCTTCCTTCATTCCAGCAATTTTTGCCTGGAGCAAGTGACGGCACGGTTAGCAGCGATACCCGAGATAGGGAGCGACCGCGGTAATGCTGACATTTCCGATGTCTGTTTGAATCACCGAGTAAGCCAGTACGCCCTCACTTCGCCAGCGATCATTGGCGACTTACTACTTCGATCCAAAAAACTATTCACAGCGTAGATAGTGAGCATTTCCCCAACCAACGCTGATAGCGCGACCTACCTCAGCATATACAGCACCGCTAGCCCGCCGACCAGGTATTTATCCAGCTTCCTCACAACCGCCCTCTCTTCCGCACGCGTGTACAAAAACTCTCTCCGCCGCCTCCGCCTCCTCCTCCGTTGCGACCTCGGGGGGCTTCGCAGATCGTGCTCGTCGTCGACAGCGTAGAGCACCTCGCCATCGCCGCCAGAATCCTCGGCGTCGTCGCCTAGTGGTTTCTCATCTTCCTCCTCTTCCACCGATCCCCCCTTCACCTTCATCAGCCGCAGCTCGTAGGCTTCCTCATCGTCGTCGTCGGGGGCCGGGTGCACGTCGAGATCGTCGTCGGAATCATTCTCCTCCAACGAGCGCGGGGTCGGGACGAAAACAGGCGATTCGGTGTTTGTCGGCGACAGTGATTTTCGGGGCGTATGCGATGCTGAGGAGGGTGCGGACATTGAGGTGGAGATGTTGGTCGCGTGTGATGTTGGAGCTTGACAGCTCAGGACGGACTGACGTCGCAGAAGTGATGCTTGAACCCCCATGTCTTGGCTTAATTTCACGAGCATCGACAACCAACGTATGCTACCAGTACTCGTACAGCTTTGGATTCCTCTCCGACTTAGCACAGCCAATCAGCCCGCCCGAGCTCTGAGCCTCTTTTCTCTCTTTTCTCCTGCAACAATTTCATGCCACAGCATGGCTGACAGTGGAGCGAAACGACGGGGTAGAGGCCCAATGACGCCGGATGTGCGCATCTCGAAGGCGCTCAGTTATACACTCCGGCATGGCGCGGAGAAGGAGGGGCTGAAGCTTCGCAGCGATGGTTATGCCAACGTGAGCGAACTGGTAAAACCACTGCGCCACAGCCACCTTTGGGAAGGGAGGCTAATTGCATACCAAGTAGTTGGCGATGAACAAATTCAAGTCACTGGGCTTGACATTCGCGGAATTGAAGCGTCTCGTAGCAGAGAATGACAAGCAGCGATACAAACTGACCCCGCTGTCCTCGGTCGACGACGACTCTCCCGCCACCGAGGAAGAACACGACGGCAATGGCGGCGGCGACGACCCGGCCAGGTACCTTATTCGCGCTAATCAAGGACACTCCATAGCCATCTCCTCCGAAGCATTGGAACTGGAGCTTCTCCTCCCCGAGTCGCCGGACTTCCCTCCGCAAGTCGTCCACGGCACATTCTACGCCTTCTACCCTCTGATCGTTGCAAGCGGCGGATTGAAATGCATGGGGCGCACACACATCCACCTTTCGCCTCTAACGGCGTATCAAGAGTTCAGCGCGCGCAATCCCGCTGACAAAGGCGGCGACCACCAGAGCGGAAAGAAAAAGCAGGAAGTGTTGAGTGGAATGAGAAGGGATGCGGATGTTGTCTTTGTCATTGACGCGAGACGGGCTGCCGAGCACGGCGGTTGCAAATTCTGGCGCTCTGCGAACGGCGTCATTTTGACCGAAGGAAACGCCGACGGCGTGCTGTTAATGGAGTATGTCGAGAGGGTCGAGGACCGCCGGGGGTTGGGAATACTGTGGGAAGGTGGGAAAATAGTGAAGGAACTCCCGGCGGAGTTGAAAAACAGAATGCCGCCGCGTGGAAAGGAATTTGTCGCCCGAGGTGGTCGCAGAGGTGCCAAGGGAAAGAAATCGAAGGGAAAGGAGGAAGAGGCTGTGGAGGTGAAAATCGATGCGGTCGACGTCTAGAATCTAAGCTACATAGGGCCCGTTTGAATAGCTCGGTATAGGGGCGAAAACGGCCGTTTTCCCAGGCTTGGCCATAGAAATAGTTGGTTGAAACGGCTGTTTCGCATCATGCTGAGGCTATCCAAACGGGGCCATAGTATGTATACTCAAGTCGAGAGTAGAGAGAAGCGATCGGAGAATATTCGAATACATCTTTCGATGGTACTTTTTATCACAGCTTGCTCCAATCTGCTGGAGCCGGCACATCAACGGACAGCGTTGCCGCCGCTCTTTAATTCTCAACCAACAATCACCGGAAATCACGCAGCATCGTCGCTACTCAGTCATGGACACATCGGCATCGACACAACAGAGCAGTCTCCGGCTCTACGATATCGTCAGAGAGCACCTCGACACCTTCATCACCGAGCTCACCACGCGGGAAGCGGCATTGGTAGAGCAGCTTTCGTCCGAAGAGGCGAGCGCCATGTTTGTGGTGTGGCTCTGCAAATCTCTAGACTACCATCAAGGCAAGCTCAGGGAACACGCTGCTTCGAATCCGAAATGCGACCAAAACAACAACAACAACAAGAAGCATGCACAGCTGGAAGCGAGCAAAATGTTGAACCGGAAAGTTGCGGCGTTGGCGCGCGAGTGCGAGTTTTGGCGGATGATGGCGCTGGATAAAGATGAGGAAGCTCGCAGTCTGAGGGTTGCAAACATCGCTTTGTTGCGGGATTTGACGGGTTTGCGGCGGTAAAACGGGACCACCTCGTGCCTGCCAAACTTGTTGATTGTTTATCTACCACTACTGTTGCTGCCGTTTGTGTGGAAGATATACCTTTGCTTTGGCCATCCCTACCGCCCCTTTTGAAGTGGCCCTTCCTTTATTTACTTGGGTTCTTTCAGCAACTTGTACTATACACTGCCCGAGGGAGCAAACACTAATCCGAATAATGGCTTCCGCAATCACATCACACCAAACCAAACCATCATCTATCGATTCTTTTTCCAAGCACACAAAGGTGGTTCTCAGCATTACATACCCAATAGTTCTCACTTGTTAAACCCCGTGCCATCCACCGCGTAGCTTCACCGTCTCCGTCGTTTCCATCATCCTGCTCGCAGCTCTCGCCCGCGAACCGTCCAAGAAGTGCGAGATAACCAACCTCTACTCTTCAAGACATCTCTGTTACTTTCCATATTCTGATCTCTCATCTCTATCCATCACTCGAACCAAGCAGCAAGCAAGCAAATTAAATAACTCCACATATGCCCGCAAAAGCCCCCATGGATGAAAACGTCCGCTTCCTGTACTCCTGCCTGATCCGCAGCGACTACCACTACGT